GGGAGGGATCGAGGACAGCCAAAAACACACACAAACAGCAGCCCGGCCGCCCCCATATGAAGGTACATATACAGTTTGTCGCTGCGGTCAGTCAGTTGCGCTACATGGTAAAGTGTGTGTGGTCGTGTTGTAATTGGTCGTCTACCTGCATGACACGGACGGACGGACGGACAGAGACGTACCAAAATGCGTGTGTGTGGGACTCTTTCTCGTCCATCCGGGGCGTTGACCTCCGTCATTCCAGGCCCCAGCGGCACTGTCCGCCACGGCACCAGCAGGTTGCACCGGAAGGCAGGGGATGGCCACACTGCTTTCCCTCGGTCGGTCCAACGTCCTGGTTGCTGCAGTCCGAGCCGTAATCTCTACACTCAGCCGTGGTCGTACCTGCAGGCACACGTGAGGATGCGCGATCGAAGCTATCATCTCCCGTACGGTACCCGTTTGCGTACCTTGCTGGGTGCCGGCGGTGGCCTTGGCTATCGTCGCCATCTGCCCCTCCACCTTCTCGATGGCTTCCAGGGCGCTGGCCGCCAGTTTCTCGGCGGCCGTGTCGAGCTGCTGCGCGGCGATGTTGAGCTTCTGAGCGGCCGTCATGGAGGTGATGGTCTGGCTCAGCTGCTGCTGCACCAACAAGGCCACCTACTGGGCCTCAAGCGCCGACGCCGCACCACCTGCACACACACGGCACACCAACACACAAACATAGATCTCGACCTGCACGAAGGGAAGGATCACGGGCGAGGCCACCAACCGTGCTCGTAGCGGTCCACCGACACCTCTGCAGCCACAGATCAGCCATGCAGCCATTACAACGCACAAAATGGGCAGATCTGCCATGATGCATGGTCGGTTCGGTGTGGGGGTGCTTCCCTCTGAGCACCGGCGAGCTGTGTGGCGAGGAGAGGCTGCAAAAAGGCGGCCAGGCCAACCAACAGGGTGGCAGCGAAGCCGAAACCCGTCATCGAGGCTCCGCAGACGTCTGAAAGATGTGCACACTCGAGCGCAAAGAGATCTTTCTCTAAGAAGATCTCTGGTTTGCGGAGTGGGGGCCGTGGTGGGCGTCTCCGTCCCGGGCTCCCTGGCAGCGTTGGAAAGAATGTTGGGCGTCTGGACACAAGGCAGCGGCAGCCCACGTGTGCAGGGTCGGGAGGGCAGCATCTCGAGCGACGCCAAGAGCCGCCCATCTGCTGATGACCCCGGCTACGTCCAGCTGCCGAGAGTGGAGGATGGAGAGAAGGAGGCCATCGCTCACGGACAGACAGTGAGAGAGAAGGTCGGCTTGTATTGCTCTTGCATCTCTACATCCTCCTCTCACGTCCTTTCCATTGCAGATGGCTGTGATGTCCCGTCAAGCGGCGTCGGCCTCGAGTGACAACGTTCCTCTTCTGCTGGGCAACGAGGAGGGGCACGTTGAGTTGCAGCTGGCTGATGTCGAGCATGACGTCCCTTTTGCCCCGAGACTGCTCGAAGAGGTTCCATCCACTTCCTTGTCCACCTTATCGAGCAACTGATGAGTGCTGTCACTTGTGTCTCTTCATCCACAGGTCCCCCTTGTGGGTGCCCCTGCCATCGACGAAGCGACCAAACCACTCAGAGACAGGATCGAATCGGCAGTCTATGGCCGCGCAGACACAGCAGCCCTGGAGCAACTGCGGGAGGATCTTGCCAGTCTGCCGCATGATCGAGCGGAGAGAATGCTGACGACTGGAGACTGGATCTTCGGATCTGCAATCCACGATGCTGCAGGTATACATCGTCGTCTTACGTCATGTACATGACGGAGCCACAAAGTTCCTGTCTGCTTCTCAGATGAGAGTGGGAACAAATACAGCCCACCGACGGTAGAGGTGTTTGAGGTGCTGCTGCACAACCGGCGTCACCTGCTCAAACTGAAAAATAGAGTATCGTGCTCGAGTGTCATGCTCGTATCTGTGAGTGACAACTGATCACTGCTGTCTTCCTGCTGTGTCTACAGTTCGGTTACACGCCACTCCATTACGTTGCGATGAAAGGTGGTGGAGATGATCTTGTTGAGAAGTTCATCGAGTGGGGCGGAAAGGACCTGCTGAAAGCTCAGAACAAGGTGAGGGTGAGGAAGGTCGCTCATTCTCTTTATTCGCCGACTGGTGTCGCCACTGCTGTCTTCCTGCTGTGTCTACAGTACGGCAGCACGCCACTCCATTACCTTGCGGAGAAAGGTGGTAGAGATCATCTCGTCAAGAAGTTGATCGAGTGGGGCGGAAAGGACCTGCTGACAGCTCAGAACAGGGTGAATCTGGGAAAAGATACGTTCATTTTTCCAATTGGCCGACCGTTGCCTTCTGTGTCTCTAGGATCGCAAGACGCCACTCCATTACGTTGCGGAGAGAGGTGGTGGGAATGATCTCGTCAAGAAGTTTGTCGAGTTGGGCGGAAAGGACCTGCTGAAAGCACGAGACAAGGTGAAGATGAAAACCTTTGACGGCTGCACATCAACATGGGCGAGGCGTTCGTGTTATTGTCCGTCTGGCAGGGTGGTCGCACCCCTTTGCACTCTGCAGCAGGTAGGGCATATTGACTGTGCGGCTTCTGTAAGGACTCGTGTTGCCGTGTGGCAGCATCTGGCCACGCAAGTATGTTGGAGACGATGCTGGAAATGGCCCCTGACTTGTTGGAGGACGATGATTGGGTACATATCTCATAGCACGGCCAAACGTGCTAGAGCTTGTTTTTGATCCACAGGACGGACACAACCTTCTTGACGTAGCAGCGGGTCAGTCGGCCATGTAGAAAAATAATGGCAGGAGAAGGAGGTTTCTGACTGTCTTTTCTTCTCCAGAGGCAAACAGCGCAGGAGTGCTTCAGGCGCTAGTAGCGAAAAACCCCGACCTGCTGACGAAAGGGCCGTACGTAAGCCTCAATACATGATATGAGCTGTTGTGCATTCTACGCGTCGCTTGCTGCGCAGAAGTCGCGCGGCATCAAGCAGGAGACGCCTTTCCATGTCGCCATCCGCCTGAAGTGTGGCAAAGCTGCTGGAGCGATGTTGGCGGCGTCTGAAGCAAAAGGCGTGGTCATATGGTGGCTCGGTTTCAATAAAAAGCTGCTTGACAGCGTCTTGCAGCCAGACGTCCTTCCCGGAGTCATTCCCTTCATGAAACAAGGATTCGCGCAGTACCTGAGACACCAATCCTGGTCGGTGGGCTTCGACAGCGTCCGCTGGTGCTCATTCTTCCGCAAGTTCATGCAGTCGCGACAGAAGGACTCTCTTACAGAGTAGGGTCAGGGCCGAGCCCGGTCAAGGAGAGACACGACGTGAATGAAGAGCGCTTGTGTTGTTTTGATGAGTGTGCAGTGACATTGCGGGGTCAGCATCGTGGCTCGAGGTAAAAGTGGAGAACCCATTCGCTGTTTCCCTACCTTTGGAATTCAATCAGGCCTTCGCAGCAGAATTCTGCACCAATACACGAGAAGAAGATTTCCGCCGATCGGTCGAAGGCCGCGAGGAGAGGTTTTTTGAGCACCTAGAGTCTGCTGAGCCCCTGACAGTGGTCACGCAAGGTACAGTTGCTTAATTCGGCCTACATTCCTGTCCTTCATTGATTGTGACAGCCAATTGCATTAACCTAATCACGCACCACTGGCGGCATATCTATGATGCTGGCGCACCACTGGCGATCATAGACAAACGAGATACCACTGACGCTTCCTGGACTAAGGAGGTGATGAAAAGCCATGGGACAGAGTTTTCACCTCGGAGTGCATTCTTCAGCCGCGTGCTGTCAATGCTGCTGATGTAAGAACGCACATAGAAGCCAATGCAGGCGGGAAGAGACATGGTATTCTCGTGTTGGCAGGGTCTTCTCTGTGTTGCTCCACACAAGAAGCATCAAGGGAGACGGCGTGGCTGCAGCGGGGCAGTCTGTGTGGCTGTGGAGTGCCCTGGCGACTGGTGTTGGCTTCATTGTGGTCGAGTGGTTCCAAGTAAGGGAGAATCGAGACAAGAAGCTTAACTAAAGAAGCCGTATTGTCTTGATGTCCTCTGCCATGTACCTAGCTTTTCCGCTTGAAGGCACACTACTGGAAGGACTCCTGGTAAGCAAACGTTCCTGATCTGAACTTGGAAGGTTCATCACACTTTTGATCTCAACCTGCTTTCATGCAGGAATTACCTCGACTGTGTCTCGGGCGTGTCGATCGCCGCCTTCATCGCCATCCACTTCATCGGCTGGTCGACTGAAGCGGAGGTCGGCTCGGGCATTGTGGTCGCGCTGCTCTTTGCCCTCCGTCTCCTGCAAGCCGCCAGTCTTCTCCCCAACGTCGGACCGCTCATTCTGTGAGCACAGAGCCACAGACACACACACACACACACAGAGACACACACACAGAGAGACAAAGACAGGTGTCTTATGCTGTGTAATGGGTGTGCGTGCCAGGGCTGTGGTGAGGATGCTGGCGGATATCAGGAAGTTTCTGCTGCTGTACCTCTACATCCTGCTGGTCTTCGCGGGCGTCTTCACCATACTCTCATCCGACGAAGACCATGACTACTTCGGCTCCTACGGCCAGGCCATGCTCGCACTGTATGGGAGCTCATCAGGACACGCACTCGACGGTGGTCATGTCGCGTCTTTGTGTGTCAGTTTCTACGCCGGCCTTGGCGACTTCAATGACGCGCTGAACGACGCCATTGAGAGCCACGACACGCTGGGCGCCGTGCTGCTGTTCACCTACATCATCCTCTCATCCATCATACTCGTGAGCTAAAAATTACGCATTCGTCAATGGACGCGCACACCCAAAGAGTCTCTTTCCTGTCTTTCTCCGTCCGCATGCATCAATAGCTCAACCTCCTCATCGCCATTATGGTGAGACACACACACCAAATATACCAAATAGAGATTGTGCCATATGATCGATCCAACGTCTGTGTTGTGTGTCAGGCGTCCACTTACTCGGCAATTGAGGACACACAGGACGCGCAGTACCAGTAAGCAAACAACACCAACAGGCAGTGGGAGAGCGACAGAGGCCTATGGGATTGTCCAGGCTGCTGCGCATTCGCGTGTTGAATGAATACCTCACAATGCCGCCGCACGAGCGGCTGCCGCCACCATTCAACCTCATCGGTCAGCAGCTTACCAACCGCATCGTTTTAAAAGTGCTCGACTCACTCATGTCTCCATTGACTTTGCAGCTTTTCTTCTGTCGGCCCCCTTGCCGTATCTCGCCTCTCTCATCAGCGCAGATCGGCGTCAGCAGTCGACAATGTGCCGCATTGCCTTTTGGTGCATGGTGGCTCTGTATGCCACCATCGACGGGCTCCTCTTTACCGTGGCATTCACACCCACATTCATCCTCTCGGCTCTAGAGCGGCTGCCACACGTGCTGCAGGAGAAAGCCTATGGATCGGATGCCCCCTGGGCCTGCCTCTTCCAGCGTGCAGAATGGCTTTGGCAGCGGCTGTGGAACGCCATTGTGCTCACCCTTCTCACGCCACTCAGCATACTCCGCTTCTTCATGCTCTTTGTAGAGATGGAGCGTCTATCAGTAAGGCACCGAACGAGGAAAGACGCCATGTCAAATCCATTCTGCTGTCATTTTGCTGTCGAATTAAGGCCGCGAACTCATCATCCTTTCGTCTTCCAGAGGTGCATATTGCGACGGAGAGCATCGACGAGTGGATCAGGGCGGCAGATTCCCACAACGCGACTTCGCCTGACATCATGGCGGGTGAGAGAATACTGAGACACACACAGACAAATCAGCCACTATCTGTCCCGTATGGCAGTGTTGCAAGTGATGGATAAACGGCAGATGGAAATGGACGACCGACTGAAGGAAATCGGTGAGCGACAGATGCGGATGGATGACCGGTTGACGGAGATGGAGACACAGATCAAGCGGAAGATACAGTGAGATGGATGGATGGGCAGAGAGACAGACAGGAGTCGACGATGTCTGGGAGACACCGAATCGCAATGCTCATGCGCTGACTGAACCATTAAAGAAGTCGGCACCGACTGACGACTACCGAGAGACATCAAATGTGATGACTACTGAATGGTCAGATAAGCCCTGGTGATCTTCAGGGGCTGAATGGGATGCGTCGATCATGGGTGGCCTCTACGCATTCATGCATTCATGTGAACACTGATCGACACGCGGGGCAGGAGCTGCCGTGGGCCGCTGAGTGTTTTTGCGTCTTGCAAAGATCATGTTGTAGCATGCGCAGATCGGAGTGAGTCAGACATGCAGTTGTCTCTGTTGTCAGTGGAGGTCCGCGCAGCAGATGCCCAGCCCGACTGCTGCCTCACTGCCGTCACCTAACGCCACCCCGCTGCTAGCGCTCCCACCCCCATTGGCTACCGCTCGTGTCCACACGAGGGTGTCCTTCGACACCTGCACGCACCATATGGCAGCCATGAAAGAATGGATGGATGCATTAATCGGTGGCTCACCCATCCGTTGACCCGTGCGACCTGCAATGCACCCGTATGTTGCTCGAGGGACGTGCAGATGTGATAACCTGTGTGTGGCATCCATCCATTCGACAGGCAATGCACCCCCGCCTCCCCACCCCCCTGTTCCCGTGTCTCCCTCACTGACCTTCTGCACACGCGTCGATGGCCTCCTGCAGAGTGCAGTGGAGGCATCCGAGACGCACATACGCCGGGCCCACACCAGCTGCAAAGGAGAGGAGAGGGGACCATGAATTCATCAGCCCACAACAGACCTTCGTTTGTTTATGCAGGAGGTGGTGGGCGTACCGAGTGCTGGTGCGGCCTCTGCTGTGATTTCGTCTCGCCCCAGTGCTCTGTTGTAGATCCGTAGCTCGTCCATCATCAGAGGCGCTGATAAGGGAGACACACGAATGCGAGCGTTGCATGGGTCTCGCATCAGCAGTCTCGTGTTGCCTTGGTTACCTTTGCACTGATCTCTGGTGCCCTCAGTGCCTGGGTGAGGATAGCGGAGAGAGGAAATGACAGCTGATGGCTGATGGGTGATGGCCGATGGCCGACGGGCTGTGTCTTCTTGTCTGCCTTGTTCTTTCTTACCGCCGACGAAAACAGGATGTTCAAGCAAGGGACTATCACCTGTGTGGGCCACATGGGCCACAATCACACACATGGATGGATGGATGGATGTGTTTGTCGGCTGACCGGTCGTCTCATAGCTCGAGTCAAGGATGCCATTCAGGTAAAGCCGCAGCCTACTGCCGTGCCGCACAACCGCCACATGGTTCCAGGAGTTCCGCAGCGGCACTCCATGGCTCAATATCGCCTCGTGCTTAAACACCTCTCCCCACCCACCACCACTAGCCGCCATCCTCGTCGTCATCTCAACCTTGATGCGCACAGGATGGCCCACACTATATGAAATTGACGGCGCGCGAAACATGGTGCCGTTCTCGGTTCCTCCCCGGTGCAGCATCGGGCACCATGTGTCCTGGCTGCCGCTGGTCATGCTGGCTGCGTCGCGCAAGAGGTGAAACCAGAAGGTGTAGGATGAGTCGCGGCCTTCCAGCAGACATGGGAGGGCAGGTATGGCGGCGAAGGACGACTGGAAGACGGCCGATGAGCCCATGGCGGGGAGGGACGGCCCTCTCTCGAAGAAGCCCTGACCGTGCTGCTCGTTGCCGGACGCATCGAGCATCCCCTGGAGGTCAAAGTTGTAATGACCTGCGTGAGAAGGGAGAGAGGAAACACCAACACCGTCGTGTTTGCTGTGCTGTGGTGCCTCTGTGGTGTTGTCCTCTCTCTTGCCGCATATGCCGAACAGCTTTGCTCTTGGAAGAAGCATGTGCGTCCCCCCGTTTGTGCACACCCGGCCGTCCATCGCCACGTCGCATGATACGAAGCCTGTGGACGTCTGGAGAGTGCTGTTGGCCGACGAAACGGCCTCAAGGACACTCCTGAAAGGAAAATGAGCCAAGAGAGCAGCAAGATCTCGTTCGTGCATATGGGCATCACCTGGAGGCGTCATCGGCGCAGGTCTGGCGCAGGACCGAAAGAACAATGGCCAATATCCTCAGACGCCACATGGCGGTCCTCAAATGGCCAGCTACACGCGTGTTCGACAGGTTGGCTTTGAACCGGGCCGCTTGGCCCAAATCATCTTCCGCGCCAAAAGGTGGATCGCCACTCAGAAAGATCCCGGCTTCGAATGGGTCTTGGATGCACGCGAGCGATGCGAGAGCACCGGCGGTTATGGCTGATCCTCACCGGCGTCGTAGCATGCCTCCCAGAATGCATCCTCGGGTCGCTGACGTGGAACTACAACCAACAGGGGGCTGACTGGACCATGGGGGACTGCACGAGCGCAGAGCGGCAAAGCCCTATCAATATGTAAGCGCTCGGATGCTCATCATATCGCGTCGATGTGTGATCATCGTTGATCTGTGTGTGAGCGTGTGTGGTGGCTGCAGAGCGTCGCAGCACACGACGGCACTGGACGAGCCTTTCAGGTACAACTATGAGACCAAGGGCGGCAAGATATCGCTCATCAACAACGGCCACACCCTAGAGGTGAAGAGGGAATCACACCAGCTGGTGCATCAAGGGCTGAATGTGTTCATTGTGCTGTGTGTGTGTGTGTGTGTTCAGGTGATAGGTCAGCAGGCGCTGGGCCACCTGGACTACCGCGGCAACGTCTACCGGCTGGAGCAGATCCACTTCCACGCGCCGTCGGAACACACGTTCGAGAACCAGGCCAGGGAACTCGAGATGCACCTCCTACACATGAATGACGGTACACACACACACACACACACACACACACCGTCTGAGTGACGATGCACGCCCCTTGTGTGTGCCATGGTGCAGATCACGGCCTGATGGTTGTATCGCTGACCTTCTCGAGTGTCGGCGCGTCGGCAGCTCACCCATTCCTCACAGTGCTCGAGGCAAAGGTGCGTTCAGGCAGACGACAAACACCCACGCCTTGTGTCTGCCCACATCCCTTGTGTGTCCCTGTGTGTGTTCCGGCGTGTGTCAGGGTTTCCCCTCCGAGAATGGTCGTGTGGAGATCAACATGGAGGGCGGCGACGAGTTCAACCTCAACACCCTCATCAGCGACACCGAGGACTTCTACAAATACGCAGGATCGCTCACCACACCGCCATGCACCGAAAACGCCCAATGGTCTCTGTCCGAAGGACGGCCGACAGACGCACCGACGCACACGCACCTGTGTGGTGGTGGTGTGAATGCCCTTGTGCGGTTGTTCAGGTTTGTGATGGCCCAGCCGTTGCTGGCCAAGGCGTCGCAGCTGGAACTGTTCACCAAAGCCTTCGCTTACCCAGGTGACTGAGTGACGGAGCGATCGGCGTTTTGAGGCATCCGCCATGCGCTGTGTGTGTGTGTCTGTCCGATCATGCAGGCACCCAGGGCAATTTCCGCATCATCCAAAACACCCCAGTACCGCACTCACAAACACAGATACGGCTGCCACTTTGGTCTTCTTACGTGCGCACACGCCCATTCAGGATCTGATGAAGAACCCACAGCACGTTACCCGCGTCAAGTCCACCTACAGCCCGGACGACCCCGCTCTGCAGATACAGCAAGACACCACCGGGGAGACCATCAAACAGGTCGTGTGTGTGTGTGCGACGTTGTTCATGACAACAACAAAGCTGCTGCCTCTGTTCTGCTCTCTCCGTTCAGGAGCTGACGGGCCTCGGGACGACGGGAATGATCGTCCTGGTCATCGGCAGCATACTCATACTGGCAGGGGTCAGCAGACAGCCACACTCCCACACCACAAACGGTGCCAGCCAAATGAGGCCGTGTGTGAATGACATATCCAGGTGGTGACCCTCTCGTTGGCGTGCATCATCAACCACTGCAAGCGGGCGCGCCTCGAGGCAGAGGAGGAGGACTACGGCCCCACACGGACGCTGCAGGGGTCCTACCAGAACTACGCCGCATCGCTGAATGCGCCCACCGTGCCCGTCAACTACAACATGCCTGGTGCTGGGCCCCCTGGGCAGCCGGCACCACCCCCACCCCCACCACTGGCACCTGCTGCGGCGGCGGCAGCATCCGAGGCCAACTGAGTGGGCGGTGGGGGGATGGGTGGATTGTGCAGAGGCTGGTGTGGTGTTGTGAATAATGGTGGTGGGGTGGCTTTGGTTGGATGCTCTTTTCTCTCTCTCTCTCGTGTATAGTGTTATATAAGGATGTGTGTGTGTTCCTGTCTCTCTCTGTGTGTGTGTGTGCGTGCGTGTGGCTAGTGGGAGACCTGTGCCTGCGTGGATGGACAAAAGGGGTGGGTCGCGTTGATAAAGCGCATGTATGGCTGCAGGCAAGTCCGTCGTCAGGGGTCTTTCCATCCACATGCGGTCACAACCTCACCTCCTACCCACTCACACACTCACAAGCGGCTCCTGCAAAGATCGGACGCACACTGAAATAGAGTGAAGGACGAAGAAATAACCTACCTGTCAGTCAGCTATGCAGCTATTACACACAGCCAGACCAACGTACCCTTCGGTACCCATATGATACACAGCACCGCACCGCCCCGCCCCGCCCACACACACACTCACACACTCAGCTATTTGATGCTGATGAGCTTCAGTTCTGAGTACGACGTCGCCCCCCACCCATTCACCGACGCAGGCACTATCAGCCGACGCACCTCGCCCTCACTCATCGATAAGAACGCCTCAGCCGACCAGGTAAGAAGCCGAGTGAAACCAACCGTTTGACCCCGATGCTGATGCCACACGTCGGCCGCGTCGAATGCGTCTTTCCACGAGATGTGGTCGAATGTGATTTGCTGTGTGAGGCGGGGTGTGGTGCCGTTGCCGGGCTGGACGATTCGGTAGAGCACACCGAGGGGGGTGCGCTTGTAGTCGCCGTCACCGCTGCAGCCAGCAGTGAATGGCACACACGTGCATCGACCTGGAGGCGACGACGATCGTTTTCTTGTCACTTCCTGACCCACCTGTCGTCTGGGAGGGATAGGTCGATCTCGATGAGGATGCCGTACATGGCCGCCGTCTGCCCACACACACACACACAGGGATAAATAAGCATCTCTGCCTTCATCCATCCCTCCTCCCTCCCTCCCTCCCTCCCTCTGGCTCTTTGTGACCTTTTCGAAGAAGCGCTGCTCCGCAGGTGTGGCCATTCGGAGGGGCACACGCACGGCGTCCCTGAGGTAGGGCTTCCTGTCGCTGAAGGCGGCGGCCAGCCGTTTGCGGCGGTAGAAGTCGACCAGCCGGCGGATGTGCGCGTCGCTCACACTCTCAATCGGCGCCGACCACCTGAGCTCCGACAACAGAGGCAGGCACACACACACACACATGTGTTATCATCGTGAGGGCGGCTCGGTTGGTTGGGCTTACAGTGATGCGTCGTGTCTTCTGCCCAGCGCCACGTCGCCCATCTCGTCGATAGTGCTTTTCAGAGTCGATATCGTTCTGCCACAGACGTCGACGGAGCATATGGTCTCACTGTCACCGTACAGCGGTTTCAGGAATGGGTTGACGCTCTGCAGACAGACGCGCAATGCAGAAGACAATGACACACACAGAGATGGGAACAAGGCGCTGCTTCCGTGTCCATCCGGCAGCCCACCTCTGTTTCGGTTTTGAGCAGCTCCATCTCTTGGTCCAGCTTTGCCTGCTCGGCGTCGAAGGCCTTGACGAAGGTCGCCACCGAACTTAGCAGCCCACTCAGCTTGGCGTGGGCCGTGCTCACGACCGATTGCTGCTGCTGCTGCTGGGCTGTGCCGTCGTCGGGTTCTTTCAATGGCGAGAGCAGCAGCTTGATATAAAAGTCATGAGGGCCTACAAGACGGGACAGAGAGAGGATGGAAGGATGGATGGATGATGAGTGTGCTGACCTCACTTCGCCTCGCCTCCCCTCACCCCGCCCCTCACCCCGCCCCTCACCTTTCAGGTTCCGCCTGTGTGCCGCCTTGACGAGGTCATCCACGCCCTCCCTCTCCCCAGCAAAGATGGCGTTGCGTATGGACGAGAACGCCGCTGAGTCGACGTCGAGGAACATCCTCCCGCTGCTGTCCTTGAGGAAGCACTCGTCCCACCTGCCCGAGAACAGGGCTGCGAGGAGCGTCCCCTCCGCACCACTTGCCGTCAGGTGCCTCCGCCTCATCCTCGACACACTCCCTCCCACATTCAGATGCAGCAGATCGTCCTCACCGCTGCTGTTGCTGGCGGTCGTCGTAGCGCTCGTCGTCGACAGACCATTGCTGGCGTCAGCAGCTCCCTTGGTGCAGGCGAGAAAGATAGAGGCCATCTTGTTGGCCATGGGCTTGGTGGTCGATGCCGGTGTGGGGTGAGATCTCACTGACGCCTTGAGGTTGCGGTCCTTGATGCTCTCGCGCATGGCGCTGATCTCTTGGCGCTGAGCCTGCAGGCCTTCGAGGGCAAGACGGACCTGTGTGTCGAGGGCACTCGTCGCCTCCACCCGATTCAGGGAACCCATCCACACACACAACGCTAATCTTCCTCACTCGCAAACAGATCTTGAGCTCGCCATTCTCCGGCCAGGTTTTCCGGGCCGCAGCTCGCTTTTTGTCGGTCCTGCTCTCTTTTCTGTCGTTTTCCTTTCCCTCTTGATAGCCTCGTTGTGTCGATGGCCTCCCGTCTGATGATAGCCGCCGATGATAGCTTGTCGCCCCCTCACGGCGTCATCCGCCGCACAGCTCTGCCGGGCGACAACCCGTTTGAGACCCCGCCGCCCCGCCGGTTCTTCTACACCGAGGAGGAGCTGGATCGCATGTGCTGGGCGCCCAGGCCGCGGCGACGGGTGAGCTCAACACACGGAATGCACCGGAATGCATCTGCACACACATGTCGGGTGTGTATGGCGCGGATGCATCCGCATGGGCGTGGAGGGAGTGGGAATGCATCAGATAGGCACCAGACTGACGTGTCTCTGCGCGGTGCTGTGCCGTGTTGCGCGTGATGCGTGTGTGCAGGTGCAGCGTACTCGCCTGGCCCGCAACAACGCGCCCGTCCCGTTTGCGGCGTTCAACTTGGTGCCCGCCGACGCGAGCGTGGCAGGTTCGCACGTGGTGGTGCCGGAGCCCTCTCCCGAGCCATCGCCTCGCAACTCGCCCCCTCCCAAGGCCAGGGAGCGCCCCCGGCGGTCCGCCCGAATCATCGAACGCAAGAACTCCAATGTCGCTGCTGCTGTGCAGGTGGGAGGCGGTGGGGATGGATGGAGGGATGGATGGGGCGATCTCTCTCTGTGTGATGTGTGATGTGTGGTGTGTGTGGTGTGTGTGGTGTGTGGTGTGTGGTGTGTCAGAGTGTTGCTGGTATGGTTGTGGATTCGCCCGTCGTTGCCGAGGCCGCTGCTGCTGCTGTGGCTGTGGCGAAGGCGTCGCCCAAGACCGGCGGCGGCCAGAAGCGCGCCCGTGACGACAGCCACGGAGGCAACAAGCACAACCCCCGCGGCTCCATCGCACAGCAGCCCACCAGGCTGCCCTCGCCCAGCGGCAAGAAACTCAAGCGCACCACGGGCAGCCCCCAGCAGGCTGCCTGAACACACACACACTGATACGAGATGCACACTCCATCCACACACTCGATAGGGATGGACGGCATCTGGGATGCGGTTGGACAGGCAGAAAGATCGATAACGACTCGTTAGACAGGCAGCGGCATCATCTCGGTAGTATTCCTGACTCCCTGCGCAGAGAAACACACACCTGTTAACATCCATCATCTTCATGCGCGTGGTTGTGGGTGTGGTTCCTTTCATTTCCATGGGATGGTTGGATGGATGGATGGATGGGGAGAGGGAGAGGGCGGAAGACAAGATAGACCAGGAAAGACGGCGGACGGATTGCTAACACCACACCACACCCCACCACACCACACCGCACCGCGTCTGTTTATCCGCTCTCCTCTCCTCGCTCCCCCATGTCGGTTGTTCACCCCCTCCCCCCCTCCATCCCCCCTGACACGCCCACCACACATCACATCACATTACACACATTTGCCTGCCTACATGGTGTGTTTGCTGTCGTGGCATGCGTCTGCTCGTCGAGTCTACCTCCCTCTCTCTACCGGCTGTGTGTGTGTGTGCGGCTATGCTGTGGTGAATGTCGTGGATGGTGCGGATTGCCTTGCGTACGGCTGGCTGGCTGCTGCTGGATATGTGGTGCGCGTGTGCGGTTGTGGGCCCCCCACTAGGGCTGCCTGCCTGTCTGTCTGTCCTCTTTCCGAAGCCTGAGGCCAGGGGGTGGAGGAGAGTAAGCAGAGGGACGGACAGAGCAGAGCAGGACAGCAGAAAGATGATGGGATGGGATGGGATGGGCGATGCACACGTAGCTGCCTGCCTGCCTGCATGGATGGATGGATGTGAGTGCGGACCGACTGCGTTCATGGATATGGTGTGCTGTGGTGTGATGTGTCATGGTGCGGATGGCTGTCTGTCTGTCTGTTCCATGGGTTGTGTTGGGTCGGGAGGACACACCACACACGGGGTTGAGACCAAAGGGATTGAAAGAGCAGCGAAACGAACAAGAATGCGGGATTCAGGCAAAGCGAAATTCGACCCACACAACGTCCATCGGTCAACAACAGGCATACACACGTCAACACACGCCATGGCGTGCCAGGGCACGCACACAACAGCAGCACACCGCATCAGCACCACAACTCACCCATATGCATCATCCACCAGCTACACACACAACACACAACACACTACACACGCCCTCTCTCCCTCCACCAATATGTACAATCCTCCCCACCCTCCCCCTTGGTTGGTCTAAATGCTCCCGACCGCACCACCACCAGCAGCCGCAGCAGCAGCACCATACGCCCCCCCGTGTTGCATGCCTATGCCCATGCCCATGCCCATGCCAGTGCCACCAATGCCGTCCGTGTCGAATGTGCCGACGTTGGGCATCCCGGGGAGGCCGCCCATGTAGGCCGACGACGAGGCTGCTGGGGCGGCCGCCCCCAGAGGGTCGCCCATCCCACCTGCGCACAGAGAGAGAGAGAGAGAGAGAAGAGTGTGTGTGTTGGGGGGGAGGGGAGGGGGTGTTTGTGTTGTGTGGCCTTGCGTACCCATTCTGTCGGCCACCAGGTAGTTTTCGCTCTCGGCGGCCTTGTACTCGTCTATCAGTGCGGTGGTCACCTCCCTAACACACACACACACACACACACCCCACACACACAGCGCAACGAGCATACCACTTTTCTGTGTGTGTATGTGTGTGTGTGTTGAATGGTGGCGGTGAGACCGACGTACTTTGAGTTGTCAAACTCGTCCAGGTTGTCCGAAAACATGGGGAACTTCCTGCATGAAGACAGCACCCAGGGGTGTGCAGCAAGGGTGATGGTGGTGGAGGGGGGGCGAGTGCACTGCTGGTGTTGTCTTTGTCTTTGCGCACTTGTAGTTCTCTAGGAACGCATTCCGCTTGCGCAGCATGTCGTGCTGCTTGACGCAACGCTCAAACAACTGCACCACACACAAACAAATGGAGCCAGCCGATGCACCCGAGCGTTGCGCTGCCTGGGTCGCTCTCTGACTCACTGACAGCGTGTATGGCGGTGTGGTTGGCCATCATGAGGCCCGACACCTTGTGCGCCGACTGCACGTACGGCGACTGCTTCGACAACGCTACCTGAGCACCAACCACACATGACACCACACCACATCTGCAGGTGATTTGTATCGTGTGGGTGCGGTCAGTGAGTGAGTGAGTGAGTGGCTGGGAGGTGTGTGTGTAGACGTGCCTGTATGCTGGCAGGCCCCCATTTGATGAAGTTGGCCAACTTGCGCTCGCGGATCCGCTGGAGGGACTTGTGCACCTGACAACACACACACGTCGGAAGGGTCCAGCGATGAGCAAATCATCTTTTCATGTGTGTGGTGGTGGAGAGGATCAGATCTGGACGTGCCTGTGTGGGGTCTGCCTCCCCGCGGATGATGTTAAGAATCGATATGTACACCCCGCGGCGCATCGGGGTCGACACCTGCACACACATACACACAGCACACCTGCCCCTCGCTGCCTGTGTGCATGCCTCTCTCTGGGTGCCGATGTGTGTGTGTGTGCGTGTGTGTGTGTACCATGATGTTCTTGGTCTGCAGGAGTCGCCTCATGACGTCCAGCACGCTGGTCTTGCGCACGGCAGACGTGTGCCGGTCGATGGACAGGGGCGTGTAGCCCGTCATCAGGAAATGGCACCTGCACAACATAGAACACACAACACACAACACACGGCCCATCAGCTCTGTGGCTCTGTGTCCGTGAGGGTACGTACCTGGGTGTGGGTATGAGTGAGGCCACCAGCCCTATGAGGTCGTTGTTCATGTAGCCGGGGTACCGCAGTGTCGTCGTCGACGCCGCCATCACCGTAGACACCTGCACCCAAGTGAAAGTGTGTGTGTGTGTGGGGTGTGTGTGTGTGTTGGCCTCAGGACTTCTTCCCTCCCTCACTCACCAGTGCGTTGGTCTGTGCGAAGGTGGGGTTGTTGAGCTTCAGCCTGTCCACAGCGATGCGGTTGAGGGCCGTGTTGTCCAGCACCACCACACAGTCTGACGACGACACCACACACACCACACACACCACACACACCACACCAACCTGTGTGTGGCTGCAGGTATGTCGTTTGGTTGCTTGCCTGCTGCCGACGTACCTGCGTTGAGCGTGAGGCGTTTCAGCGTCAGCACTGAGTTGTACGGCTGCACCACCACGTCGCTCGTCTCGGTCAGCAACGGGAAAACACTATAACTGGACACACACACATGACCCGCAGCACACAGGCGGTTTCTTGTTCACGAGGTGCCGCAAGCCCGCGTGTGTGCGTGTGTCCGTACCACTGTATGAGTTTCTTCGGGAATCGGTCGTTGAGCGTTTCCAGCAGATACGACCCCATTCCGCTGCCCGTCCCGCCAGCCTGACACACGACACACGACACACGTCGGCACATGTGGCCATCCGTCCATCCATCCATCCATCTCTTCTGCCATTGTTCTGGTTACGTACGATAGAGTGGCACAGCGTGAAGCCCTCCAGCGAGTCGGACCCGTCGGCCTCCCTGTCGATCATCTCGAAGATCTCCTCCTGGACGTCCTGCGCCTGGCTGTAGCCGCTCGCCCAGTTGTTGCCGGCGCCCCCGCCCTCCTTGGACACAAAGAAGTTCTCGGGGTTGTACAAGTTGCGGTACTCGGCCGTCTGGCATGGCAGACAGGGAGAGAGAGAGGGGGGGAGATGGGATGGTGGACGCCGTGTGTGTGTGGGTGTGGATCTGTCTGTGTGGTAGGTTGATTGGTTGGTCACTTGTATCATGTTGATGACCCTTGGTTCGAGGTCGATGAGGAGGGCTCGGGGGATGTAGTGCTCGTCGTCAGCCTGGTAGAAGAACACGTCTTTCCTGTCCTCTCCTGACACACAGACGTCATCCATCGGAGAAAAGGGCCGGACCACGCAACCGCACACCAAAAGATGAGTGCTGCATCTTCCTCGCTGTATGCTCGTGTGTGGTTCTCTCTGTGCCATTGATGCATACCGGCTACGGCAAAGTCTTCGAGTATGCCCTCGCTGTTGATGCCGTGCTCGGCGCACAGCTGCTTCCAGAACTCCATCCCTATCTGGTTGCCGCACTGGCCCACCTGCAAAGTGATGATCTCACGAGGCATCTTGCTCACAAGCTACGAAAACAAAGCGCGGAACACTCCTTTAATCACCACTCCTCTAGCGCGCAAATCTTGCCCGGAAGATGAATCTGGCCGCTGCATGGGGCTTTGGCCCACAGCGAGCTACGCAATTTCTCCTCAGGGCTGTCAGAGCCGCCCGGCATTCTCCCCCGAATCCCATTTCATCCCAATCATCCCCTCGAATCATCCTATCGTCGAGCCTGAGAGCGATTTTGTCAGTGAGTCATGTCCCGCTTCCCGTCTCTGTTGGGAGGGTCTGTCCTCTTGATCGTGGTGATCATCTGCAATGAGCGCGGTGCGATGGCCGCCGTCCTCCTTCGCCGCAGCACCGAGGGAGAGACGTGCACCATGACCTTCGTAAGCACAAACACATACACGAGCCTAGGCATCGACCACGGCCATTCACTCACTTGTCAATGAGCTCTCGTGTATGTCTGTATCTGCAGAAGCCTCAGGGCAAGGTCGATCAGACCAAAGGCAAACCACCCTTTGTGGAGTTCCACTTCGGCTACAAGGAAGGCGACGTGAAAGGCTGCCCCAACAAGGACTTGACAGTGAGCCGCACCCACATGATATGGTCACATGCACTGGAAGTTCCACATGCCGGGTGTGTTTTGATAAATGCAGTGCCTGATCAGTGGGGAGATCAAGGAGGACAAGAGCGGCAAGTCAGCCACGGCCTCCGGCAAGTGCTCCAAGGACAGGAAGGGGTGCGTTGCCGACTCTCTCGGCAAAGACAAGGACGGCGAGCCCCTCTGCATGGTAAATCGACGGCAACAGCCTCTGTCTCTTTTCGTATGCCTGTTGCGTGGGTGCGCAGACGGTCACGGGCCCCGTGATAGCCTCCAAAGGGAGCGACACGGTCCAAGACCCGCAGATCAAGGCAATTTTTCCGGGTGTGTGACTGACGAACTTTCACATATGCACACGTGCGCAATGATGGTGGTGTGCATGGCCCTTAGGTACGAGCGGATCATTTGGAATTGTGAAGCCAGAGGTGCCCGCCTGACCGAACAACAAGCACCTGAGGATCGATCCTGTCGGACAGGCGTCAGAGTGAATGCTCATGACCGAGACCTTTTCTCTTGAATGCATCATTTCAGGCGGTGAGTGAATGAGCCTCGAGCTGACAGAGGAGTCATGGCATGACTAATGTCTCAACGAACGAATGAAACACATCGCTCGGACGTGTAAAAGGCAACCAAGTTGAACCCCAAGCTAAAACAAGTTTGTCGTTGTGTATCCCCCACTGTGATCACCACTGAAGCTGAAAGTGTACACAATACATACACAACGACAAACGGTTGCAGGAGCGGTCGCAAGACAGACACAAGCAACGCAGCTGACAGACAGACAGGCATCACCGCCAACAGAGTCACCAGTCGGCCAATCGATCGACCGCAACAAGATGCTTCGCCTCATGGTGGCTCTGGCGCAGCTGCTGCTGCTGGTGTGTCGCTGCAGCGGTGTGACGTCGCTTGCGGGCGTCAAGAGACACGCTGACAGCCAATACCCGTAAGCACACGAAGGGAGCGAGGGAGATTCTTTCACTCATTCACACGTGTCTCGTGGTGTTTGTCTCAAGTGTGTGTGACGTCGCCATCAACGGCTCCGTCTGTCATTCTTCGGGTGCTGGTGTGCTGTTGTCCGAGGCGCGCCAATACGGACGCGTTGCCAAATACTCGTTCGACAGCAGCGGACCACTCGACAGGCACACAACACACACACACAGACAGACATCGACGCACTCCCACACACATGTCTCTTTCTGTTCTCTGTGCTCACACATGCAGTTCTGGTTTTGCAAATCACGGTGTGAATGGCGACATGATTCTGGCGGCGCCGTCTCTGTTCGCCGGTCGCAGCGGTGCCGTCTTCTCGGTCGACGACAGCCCGTACCTGCGGGTGCCCCACTCGCCGCTGCTGCTGCACTCGAGTGACTTCACCATCATGGGATGGTTCGCCATCCAACAGCC